AAATCTGTGCAAGAGATGCTAGCGATAGCTGAGACAAATATCTATTGATTGTTTTCATTATGCGCTCTTGGAAATCAGGTAGGTACCAGTCTTGAGTCTAGTTACCAGCAGCTTTGGGTTTTCCGCCTACCTATCTACCCATCCAGCATTGATTGTTACGATCGTATTTCTATCACATAACCAGCACCAGCAGCAGAATTGTAGGGGAAAGTGGGTGTATTGCGCCCCCCTAACCAATTGCGCCCACCAACATTCCCACGAATTCAATGGCATGTTTATAATTTTGTGTTCGAAAACAATATTTTCACCACCTGATAGTTCATTTTATGGCCCAAGCTCTCCGACGAAGCCAATCAGCAGGGCTCAGTTACGCCATCAAATATATTACGGCGTTTTCTTAGCTTTTTTGCAGTATTTTGAACCGTTGGCTATAAAAATCTGTGATACGTGTGTGATTTTCAGGTGATATTTAGAAAGAAAGCCCATTTTTTCATTATATTTCATTTAAACAGTAAACTTCCTTCAGCATATTTATGATGACTTCTACGCTTTTATTAAAAAGTACCTCAATTCTAATTGCGCCCATGGCAATTGCGCCATGGGGGCGCAAATAGAATAATGGTGTAGCTATTGTATCACGACAGTATGAATGCACCATTAACTGATTGCAATAAAGAAGGAGTTTAATACCAGGCAGGGGAGCAGCCCGCTGTCGCCAGTCCGCAAATTATTTCTCTCGTCAAACTTATAATGCAGCTGCCATTTAGGCTGCCAACTTGTGGTGTAATTGACAAAATACGGCATTTTCAACATGGACTCGGGCGTGAGAGGTGACAGCTATGATCAAAAAGTAAAAACTGATGTCAACAAGTTGTCGAAACGATAAAAGTTAATAATTTTGAGAGAAACGATTGAAAATTTAACCATACTTTCACATATATCTAGTCGGTTACATAAAACGTTTTCGTTGCACTTTTACAAACATACGGACACATGTAAAGTTATTTACCTGGGCAAAAAACATCGCGATTTATATCTACATTTATTATTTATCCAGCCTGATTAACATTATAAATGTTTAAGTAAGCCGCAATGACATTACACTGCCGGGGTGTATGCATTCCGTCTCATTCGCTTAGCCATGTTTAAGTATAGGGCGCAATTGGATTCTAATTGCGCCATCCCCCTGGCGCAATTTACAGCAGTTGTCGGTAAATGCGCCCTTTTGCATGTTTCTGAAAAGCAGCTGTCGGAAGCAAACGAAACATTCTTAATTGATCGGGAGGCTCTTAAATCGTAGCTAATGAGTTCCTCTTTGAAGTGGTTACCAGTGCATGCTTATATCTCCAGCGGTTTTCTTACAATCAGCGTTTTTCCTTAAGGTGGCGCAATTCACCCTCCTTCCCCTACAGTGCAGCATGCACCATATCATTCACCACAAGCATATGCTCTTCATAGGTTCATAACCTTAAACAATCACCCATACGCAGACGTCATCAGAAGTAATCAAACATCCACTGTGAACATAGTTTCGCTGCCAAATGAAGCTGAGCAACATGAAAATGCTTAAAATTGATGCCCCGGGATTTCGACATCATTTACAAAGTACACATAATGCTTAAATGCATCGTTCAGTCGCGCACGAAGCATGAACCTTGAAACGGAACACAGCTAAAGTTAGCAAGTGTTTACTACCAGCGGGATGTTAAACTTTTATAAGGTGTGCTATTTTTCTCTGTTACTTTTCTCTGATGCATGCCGGGGGAATATATTACCATCATTACGTGCGACCAGGAGCACTGGTTTTCCACTGGTAATTCCATAGCCGGATAACTTCTTGAATATAATGCGAATATTTATTGACACGAGAGAGAGAGAGAGAGAGAGAGAGAGAGAGAGAGAGAGAGAGAGAGAGAGAGAGAGAGAGAGAGAGAGAGAGGGAGAGGGAGAGAGGGGGGAGGGAGAGAGAGAGAGGGAGAGAGAGAGAGAGAGAGAGAGAGAGAGAGAGAGAGAGAGAGAGAGAGAGAGAGAGAGAGAGAGAGAGAGAGAGAGAGAGAGAGAGAGAGAGAGAGAGCGAGAGTCAGTAGGCTATCCCCAAACCAAACTCCTAATTACGTCACTCAGTGCGCTGCCTTTGTATTCGTGCCTGTATGACCGTTGCGTTTCACGCTCCCCGTGTCGGCAGACCAGCAGTTTTGGTACGAGAACGGCCAGCGGACGCTGCACGAGGTGCTCGAACGGCAGCGCCAGGAGCACGTCGCCAAGAACGTGGTGCTGCTGGTCGGAGACGGCATGGGCATGAGCACGGTGACCGCTGGACGCATCTACCGCGGCCAGGAGTTCCGCCAGAGCGGCGAGCAGTACCGGCTCGCCTTCGAGAAATTCCCCTTCGTCGGACTGGCCAAGGTAGCGGACACGAGATAGCCTGATGAAACAGACCTGCGCTACTGGCAAATGGCGTATGTGTGACCTATTTAGGCAGACAGCTTACTTTTCGATT